ATGATCAGAGTTGCATCATAGATTTGCTGCTTCTCTGATGATGTAACTATTATCCCTTGGCTAAGCGTTTCTCCAGTGGAAGTTAGTGTGTTATTAAGTACTTCTGAGGATATACTTTGAGACTCTGTAGATATCGTTCCTCCTCATATTTTATTCACTAGTAATTTGGAATGTATTAATGATTCTAGCTGAACTTATTATTAATGACTGTGGTGGTTGTTTTGTGATCATTTTTCAAATTTCTCATTTCTTACAGGATATAATTGTTACTCTTCTTCTATAAGGGAGAGCTTTCCCTTCTCATTGTCTGTTTAACTTCTGTCATCTACCTACCTACCTACCTACCTACTTACCTACTTACCCACCTTACCTACCTGTTATATTGGTATAAACTCATAGATTCCTATTTTATTCAAATATTGACATTTGTTGCTATCATTTTCCCAGACTGGCCATATCTTTTGGGCTGGTTTCTTTGTCATTCTGAGGTGTCCCTATAATCCTTTGAACTTTTCCTTACTTTCTGGCAATAGTGTGTTCCATGTTCATTTTATATATATATATATATATATATATATATATAAAAGGAGTAGGTACAGGGATTGAACCCAGGGGAACTTAACCACTGAGCCACATCCCCAGCCCTTTTAAAATATATTTTATTTAGAGACAGGGTCTTACTGAGTTACCTAGGGCCCTGCTAAGTTGCTACAGCTGGTTTTGAATTCGTGATCCTCCTACCTCAGCTGCCCAAGCTGCTGGGATTATAGGCATGTGCCACCACGCCTGGCTCTATACTCATCTTGCACCTACTCTGCCCCTGCCCTGGAATTGGCCATTGTTCTAAAGAGCCCTGGTTCTTTTTAGTGGAACACAAGCTTTGGAAATCAAGATTGAGGTGATTGGTTACTGAGTGTTTTTGTTTTGGCCCTTTTAGCAGATAAATATATGTGTGTGTGAGTATTTATTTCTTTTACATCTTACCTGTGTACAAAAGCTGATTCAAATCAATGCTTAGAGTTCTAGTCCAACTCCAGAGTTTCTTACCCTCCTTTCTATATTCTCTGGTGTCTAATCCTTTTATATGTTACTGGATTTGGTTCTACCATATTATTGGGGAGTTTTGCATCTATATTCATAAGGGCTATTGATTGGTAATTTTCTTGTGGTTTCTGTTTCTGGTTTGGATAAAAAGTTTTTGAAGAATTGGTGTTAATTCTTGGTGGAATTTTTGTCTTTTGCTGATATGTTCCCATCCTTCTTTAAGCATTTCCTTGGTTCCTGACACAGCAAAAATTTGCAGGTTTAATGAGATGTTTTATTCTTTAGTTTAGGAATCACCTATCTTCCAAGGAAGTCCTTGCTTTTTACTAATTAGAGAATGTGATTTAGAAGCCAAGAGTTGGGCTCTTCATGAGCTCATTGCTATTGGGATGATAGTTAGGGAATAAATGTGTGTGTGTGTGTGCGAGCACGTGCACGTGCGTGTGTGTAATACTGGTTCACACCACTACAATTGATTTGAATCTAACTAGGATTTATTTTAGTTTTCACTCTTTTTTGTATTTATGACTCTTATCTCTGAAAGTAAGGAACCAGGCTCTGTCATTTACAAGCTATTTACTTGTGGTTTGGTCTCCTTAGATAACCAGTCTCCCATTTTGACTGCCACCCACCCCTTTTGGGGTACCTTTCTTCCTCTGAATAGCCTCTTGTGCTCAAAACCAATCTGTCCTTCCTGGGGACCACCTCTTCATGCTACTTGACCTGTGGTCCTCACCTTACCTCTATGCTGGCTTGTCTAAACTATGGTACCTTCCTCACTTGACTCTGCCACACCAGGTACCATATCTGTGGATACCTTGCCCAGCCTCACACCAGGCTGCCCTACCATGCTTGCACACTCTCTCTTGCCCGCCAACCTTGGAGAAAAACAAGCATTATTTTCAATTACATTTGGAACCCTTTATGGAAGAAAATAAGTTTTATGGAAAGTATTCAGAACCATCTGCAGTAATAATCTCTGGAATCAACTTCTGATTTCTGAAAGTCTCCTGGAATTGAGGGTTTAACATAGAAATTATTTTAAAGAAGGCATAATTTTTGCTTTAGGTGGAAGGATAATACTTTTTTTTTTCGGGCAAATTTATTTATGAAACACAGGTGTTGTCCACGTTATACCTCTAAATTCCTTTTGTTTTCATTTTGATGTGTCTCATAAATTATGGTGAAGTAATTTTCATTTTAGTATTGGGCTGTGATTCATGTTTAAGGATATGCTGCTAGTACTTTGCCTTTTTATCAGTTCCTCTAGGCATATTTTCTATTTTTTTAAACATCCCCACCCAAGGAGAAAAAAGGTACATTTCAATTTCAAGACTGAAGATATTATATATAATTAATATATTCCCCTGGATGCTTTTGCTGTGCTTCAGTGAGTCATATTCTGGAATTTCATCATTTCTAATGAATTTTACTTGCTTACTTCCTGGATCTCCATGCAAAGGTCTGCTCTCTAAAGGAAGAATCTTGTCCCAGCCCATAGTGTGCAGGGCATATCACATTCCCCTTAGGGTTCTTCGTGTAGGGCTGTGTTTCTCTGGCTCATTTCTGTTTCTGAAAAGAATTGTGCTATATTTCCTGAGGTTCAGGAAGCAGGAGAGAAGAGGCACTTCTCTGGCTCTTTCTTTCTAGGTGAGCGTGACTCTACCTCGGGAGCATGAAAGGTTAGTTCCTACCTCTGTTCTACATAGGGTCATAGCGTTTCCCACTCCAGGGCCAGAAGCTGTGGATGCCCCAGCTTTGATGACTTGACTTGCCCCTTTCCATGAGTCTAGCACTAGACTTACCTCCAGGAGGCTCTTGTACACTGGACAAGGCAGGTGGGGCAGCTGACCTCGGTGAGGTGCCTCACATGGTGGGGACTTGGGATAGGACACTGATGCTGGGGAAATAGCTCACAGCAAACAAGTGTGTTCCTTTACTCTGCTAAAAAGGAGAAAAGGTGAATTATCACAGCTGCCATGTGTTTAAGCTGGTAGTAAGAGAGGCAAGTAAAAGAGAAATAGTAAAAAAGAGAAGACTTTTACATATTATCTTTTCCAAAGAATCCAAAGAGCAGAAGATTATAGATAATGTGTTACGTGGAGAAGAGTCTGGAAAGCATTATGGAGAGATTCAAGACAAAGATACGTAAAGTTATAGTGTAAAATTTAGTTGATAGAAGATCACCAAGCATATCTGATGGGTAAGGAATAGGTTTCAATTGGTGCAACTTCATTCCTGGTCTTCTCCTATAATGTCTATCAATGACACAGAAGTATAAGCTGCCGTTTCTTTATAGTTTAAGGTATTTCTCTTTGATTGTATTGGTGATATTGTAAAACAGTTAATTTAATCTTGAAAACCTAGTACATGGAATGTATTAAGGACCTGCCATTTCTTAATTTGTTTTTTTATGCCTCTACCTTACTGGTGTCACATGTCCTTTCAGTAAACAGTTGAATCTACTGAATATTATTTCTCATTTTAATTGTTGGATGTCATTTAATTTAGGATGTTGAAAGCCAAAATAAAACATCAGGCCCAGAGCCTCAGTCCTTGGATGAGTTCACCAGTCTTCTGATCGCAGATGACACCCGGGTGGTGGTGGACCTGCTCAAGCTGTCAGTGTGCAGCCGAGCAGGGGACAGGGGCCGGGATGTCCTTTCAGCTGTGCTATCTGGTATGGGCACTGCCTACCCACAGGTGAGTGATGGGGAATATTGGGGGCTGCCTGCTCCATCTCCTTTCTCCATTCAGGCCAGCCTCCTCTGCAGGGGACACACAGCTGTTTTTCATGCATGCTTTTGTGCTAGATTCATCCTAGTAGATGTCAGTTTAGAAGTACTTCTTTAAAATCCAAGATCCCATCATTTCCCCAGTGCTATCTTTTACCTGTTTCAGAAATGGATTGTGTGTCTTGTTTTTAATGATTTGTAGAATTTATTAAGTAAGTACCTTAAATAAGTTTTTGTAGTTTTCCTTTTTTTTTTCCTTCTAATTTTTAAGGAGTCAAATCTGCCAGGCTTTTCACACTTCACCCCCATTTTTTTGTATTAAGCTGGGGGGGGAAAGCTTACATGATATTGTTTTAAAGAAACTGTTACATTTTCTTCTAATTATTTTTATGGTTTCATTAATTATGTTTACAGTTTTTAGCCACCTGAGATTGATCTTGATGTAAGGAATAAAGTAATGATTCCGCTTTTATTTTTTCCTAAATGGCAAACTAGTTGCCCAAACATTATTTATTGAATAATCCACCTTTTTCCCAGTGATTTGAAAACTACTTTTATCACACTCTTTTAGAGTATTTACTGGATATGTTTGGGTCTATTTACAGATGGTTTTATTTTTCTATTTTTGTTTCTTTGAACTAACTCTTTGTGTTCTAATATCACGATAGTTCTACATATTCAGTAACACTGGGTCCAGTAAGACTGTATTTTCTATCATTGTGGAAATGTTCTATATCTGAGCTATGCAGGATTGTGGCCACCAGACACATGTGGCTATTGAACACTTGCAATATGGCTAGTATACCCGAAGAAATAAAGTTTTAATTTTACTTAAGCTTAATTTTAAATTTGAATAGGCTCCTGTGGCTACTCAATTGGTCTAGATGAATTTAAAGTCAATATCATACCCACATGTTTAGAAATAGGATTGATGAGTCCTGAAGTCCTAGAGCTCTCTTGAGGACTCTCATTTGTCAACGTCCTTGCTTGGTCTTTTCAGAACTGGCTTGCCAGGGGACCTGGTACAGTGTTCCTATTGCAGAAAATTCTGTTTTTTTTCTGGACCCCATCTCACTACCACCAAAATAATAAAGTACTTAAGTACAGTTGAGTAGATGATGTGGTAGATATTTTAGGTACTTGTTATTTCTTAGTTTTTAAAGACAGATTACATGGCATAATTCTAAAAGATTAAATTAAGGTAAATTGCCATAAGCAGAGTTTGATTTTTCCCTCCACAAGTTTATTGCTTTTAAGAGAGGAAAGAATGTGCATGAGAACTTTGGTTTAAAATAATACCCAGCATTTGCCATACAGATCTCTACCATGTGTGATTTTGGTGCATTCTGTCAGTACAGAGAGTAGGTGTTATGTTTACATACAGATGAGAAAACTGAGGCTCCAAGAGGTTGTTACTGGTTTGAGGATACTAACTGTATTTTAGGAGAGATGAGATTGGAACTCTGAGGTCCCTGACACCAGAGCCATATCTACCATGTGTGTTACCCCCTCCTGATAAACTTAGTGGCCTCTCTTTGGTAGGTTCTGATGGGCTTTGCAGAGGAAGATTCTAAAATTCAGTTCCCTCATGGATTTTGCATAGAAATAGACATTTGATGCCAACATCTGTTCAAATAATTCATTCAGATTTCATAAGAATACGTGTATTTTCAAACTGTCATTGTAATAGCAAGACGGCTACTTCTGTGTTATGCCCTGACCTAATATGTAGGACTCAAAAAAAAAAAAAGACATTTGAATTTAAAATAGCATGCCTATATGACAATAATATTAGTTTGTTACTAATATAACTGTTTAGTAAGCCTAGCTGTTCTCTGATTATGAGGAAAAAAGAATAATCCTATTCCTGAAAAGTACAAAATGGACAGTGTATAAAGAAGAATTATATTTTTTGAGTTGAAAATTTTGCTTATCATAACACATTCTAATTTGTTTTTAAAAATGACAGTCCAGGAGTTCGTAATCACTGATATTAACCACTTAAATGGTGTGAATTGGCACTAAATTTAAAAAATAAAAGACAATATGAATTATAGAGACAGCATGGTGGTGAGCTCAACATTTACTATCCTTGGTCAAGAGAAATTCCTTAATCTTGTTCACATAGACCTCCTTGTTTGAGGTATTCTGTCTGCCATGTCTAGACCTGGGTAGCTCAATTGTTCTTGATTCCTGCCCAGCCCCTTGACTTACAGTGCTTTCTAGGATATTGATCATTTTCATCAACATTTTCTTCCTCCCCTTGATACTTTCATCACAGGTGTTTTTATCAGTTGACATGTGATAAAGTGCACCTTATCCTGAGTGTTGTACTTGAGGTGCCTTCCAGCTATTTTTGTATAGATTGTCTCTGAAAGTTAAATAGCACTTTGCAAGTTTTTTGCTATCTTGATTTTGTAAGTAAACCAAACTTTGAATTTAATTTCTCAGACTGCAAGTCCTCTGCCATCCTGCCTCTATGGAATTATTCAGAGCAAGATGAACAGGGTTAGCATCCAGTTGACCCAGGACTAAAGCCAGTCAGCCTCATCATTTCCTGCTCTCTTCCTAGGTAGCAGATATGTTGTTGGAGCTCTGTGTCACTGAATTGGAGGATGTAGCCACAGACTCGCAGAGTGGCCGGCTCTCTTCACAGCCAGTAGTGGTGGAAAGCAGCCATCCCTATACTGACGACACTTCCACCAGTGGCACAGTGAAGATACCAGGTATTTGGGGCCAGTTCTGGGGGAAGGGTTGCTGGGCTCACTGCCTTTAGAATGGCTTCATTCTTCAGTCACTTAGGTCGAAATAATCTTCTCTGTTTCTTAGGAAAGAAGTAATAGAATTGCTTTGTACTCCCCTCCTCTTTTAAACAAAAAAACAAACCAAACCCACAAAAATACCTCCTTTTGTCAAGCAAAATATGGTGTAGAAAGCCATGCAAAGTAAATGTTTAGCTTTATGATGGTTGGGATACCTTTGTGATTAAGATATATAAAGTCTGTATTTTCCTGAATTGATGCCATTCTGATGTTGAGCCATCATACTTGCACTTCTAGACAGTTTCTGTCACCCAAGTGTATATCTTTATTCCTTTCCTTTTCCCCGACCCCCCCCCCTTTTTTTCCTTTGTCTTCATTTTTGACAGTTCACCTGTTGAGGCACTTGGGCCTTTGATCCACTGGGCTTCCCCTTGACCTGGATCTGATGCTGGCACACCCCTGCTGCAGTTCAACATGTTCTGCCATCCTACCTTTCTTCAACTTGGTCCCTGGTCCAGAAGCCCTATTACTTCAGCCCTTTGGCAAGAGCCTTTTGCTGGTTGTGACACATCCCCAGAAAGCACCTGAGGTGCACTCTCTCTTTGTGATGTCATCAGCACCTGTTGCTCAGCATGGGAAATAACTGATCTATTGGCATTGCAAACAATGTTATTCTAATTGGATCATTTCTTTCTCATTTATTAGCTGCAATACTTTATAAAGAGATGTTTCTCCTCATCCTTCAGTTGACTTCCCAGGGATACTGTCTGCATGAGAAAGGCAGGATAGAAGTTTGATTCTTTCTTTCTATTTACCAGTTTTCTGGAGTATGGACCAGTTCCCTGTCACTCTTCCAAGGTGACTCTTCTTTTCATCTTCCCTTTCCAATCCCATGTACTGAAACTTGATTTTAATCCATTATAATTACGTGATTATTTTTCTTATTGAAGCTCAAAATATCCTGTCTTTAGACAGTGAAAACCTTTTTAGTTTCACTTCTGAAATGATTCTGGTGGACTTTTGCTAGCTTCTCTTCAGTCTGGTATGACAAGGGGTTCTAGGCTTGTCTCATTGGTTCTGCATTCCACCTGGAGTACCTGATGGTGTTTTCAAGATCACCATCTGGCCAGGCATGGCGTGCACACCTTAATCCCAGTGATGTGGGAGGCAAGAGGATTACAAGGTTGAGGACATTCTCAACAAGTTAGGAAGGCCCTGTCTCAAAAAAAAAAAAAAAAAGAAAGAAAAAGGCAGGGTGGGTTGGCTGGGGACATAGCTCCATGATAGAGTGCCCCTGAGTTTAATCTTCAGTACTACAAAAAATAAAAAATCACAACCTGGTGCTGGGAGACTCATTGCTACTGTGTTATCATTATTTCTAGACCTTTTCAGTGGGCAGAGGTAGGTTGAATACCTGGGTAAGTGGACAAATCGACTTTCTTTTGAGTTCACACTGATACTTTCAATTCCAGTTCAAAAGGACAAGGCTGCTACTTAATCTCTTTTGTCACATTTGTCTGTCTCTCTGTCTCCCCCCCCCCCCTCTCTCTCTCTCTCTCTTTCTTTTTGCATACGTAATCCTGGTTCCAAAATAGGATGATAGAATACCTATCTCATAAATAATCTTTCATTTGCTTCATCTCTCATGATTTACTTAACTGACTCAATACAATTCTGAGTCAGAACTGCCAGAATCAGTATTCTAACTGAAAGCATTAAATTTTTTGTCATATACTGTCTTTATTCTTCTAAATTTATGAACATAATTATTCTACCAGAGCATAAAAGCTCCTACTATATTTTCTTTCTCATATTCTTCAGATATTCTTAGTTTTACTCTGTTTAATGCTCTCTCCTCATCCTTTGTCTGTCTCTTTAGATACTGGGAAATGTCTGAACTCTCTAGTAAATTTCCCTGTAGTTCCTAAGGTCAGACTTGTCTATGAGAGTTTGCCTGTCTTACTTGAAAGGTAGCTTTCCTGCATATTAAATCCTAGGATCATATACTCTTCCTCTGTGAAAGTATGATATGGATAATTAATATTTTACCTTATAAGATCATGTGATTTTTCCACCCAGTAATTTTATTAGAATATATGTTTGCATAGATCATTCTAGGTGATATTCTCAGGTAAAGAGTGTGTTCTTTTATTGTGAAGTTCCACGTCTTTTTCAGTTTCATTTTCTAGGAGTATATTTTATAGAGTTTTGTATTCTTGCTTAGTTCCTTTTTCAGGAAACTTAGCAGTTATCCATGTATTTGATGCCTTGCAGATTGGTTGCTTCCTCTCTGAAATATTTTTCACCTCTTTCTTTAAAATTTTTTCTTCTTTCCCTCCTTTTATCTCAAGGCATTTTCTATTATTCTTATAAGATCTTAGGCCCTTTTTAGTTTAGTCTATATATTGGAAAATATTTTGAGTTGTAATTCTTCTTTTTTTTTATTGTTGGTTGTTCAAAACATTACATAGTTCTTGATATATCATATTTCACACTTTGATTCAAGTGGGTTATGAACTCCCA